TAAATGTAGCACTTCTCTTCAATTATTGCATAGAGTGGAGGCGGGCCAACAAAATATTCGGGCTGATGCTCATGCGGTCATTTTCATCATCGTCCTTTCTCTGACCTTTACACTATTTTGAAGGGCCAGTTCTCTGATTCTCATTGCCAATGGTTCCAACGATATAATGCTCAAGTCGTACCATTTTCTATTGGTCAGTTCTATGGCCCCATAGATTCCCGTCCGTCATTTTCATAACACAAACGTGTATTCAAGTTGCTTATGGCTAGACAGTTTTACTGTACTTATATCATGATTGCATCTTTGTTTACAATCCATGATGTGATATATATAATTTTATCATTGATTTTAACAACACGTAAAAAAATCAGTGACCTCGATTTTTCCGCATCATAGAATGTTATACACGATGTACAAATGACTTAATTCATGGCTAGAAAAAGGGTGGAGTGTATACAAACAATTCAATAAAAAAAAAAAAAAATTCAAATTTGGTCACAAAGTATAGATTCTCGATCAATAATACCTACTAGAGAGAGAAAATAAATAAATATATAAGAATATTAAATTTTGATTTCAAAAAATACAAAAGAAATAATACAACGTACGAAACTACAAATCACATGAATCAGAAAATATATTTATTATTTTGTCCATATATTTTCGGGCTATGATTCGAAATCCATTTTCTATTACAATATTTATGGCCCCAGGTATGCAATCATCTTAAAACGTGTATTAAATATTTATTTTATTTTTTTGTATATTTTTGCTATTAAATATTTGTAAAATTATTCACAACTTAAGACTAGCTGGAAAAAAAAAAGCATATATTTATTTAACCAATAATTTTTTTTCCCTGTATTTCCATGCTATAATTGGACAAGTTGAATTATTTAAACCATTCCTACTAAAATTAATTTCTCATGACCGACTACTTATAATTAATTTAGCAATGATAAACGTGGCTCCTCCACCCCCACACCCAAGAGAAAAGAATACAAACCTAAAAAAGAAAAAAAATTGCAAGATTTTCCTCAATTTACGAACACTATCGCAAGTTGGTTCCTTTTTTTAAAAAGGAAACAATTTGATCACCTCTTTACAAAATCTTAACGAATGGTTTCCATTCAATCTGTCGTCGATATAGAAAGAAAATATTTTTCTGATTTTTTATTATAGAAATCATTTACATAAAGATGAACTAAAATAGTAAAGATAAACATAAAATGAAGAGAATGTCATCATTATAAGCAATAATAAATTAAAAAAAAATTCAAAATATTTTGCCCACTTTCAATTAAAACAACTTATTATCGACAGGAAATATGTTTATAATATCAACAAGAAAATAAATAAAAAGCCACAGTAAAGAAGAAGATAAATAGATGACATGCAATGTAGAAGGAACACAAATATTACCTATTTATCTATCAATCATTTTTATGTCTTGTTATTTTAGCAATTAAGAAGGAAAACCTAACTTCGAGTTTCATTTACTTTTGGCTAAAATTTTAGGGGCTGTTCTCTTTATATTTCAGTTTTGTGTTTTGAGTGTTCATTTTGAGATTGTTGAAAATGTGATTTTTGGTATTTTGAAAACACCCAAAACGCGTTTTGAAAATTTTGGTTTGATTATAACTGAAAACACAAAAAACGACAAATTTTTCATTTTAGGTTTTCTTTATAAATTTTTAACATGTTTTCAAAAACGCGTTTTCGAAAATAGGAAAGAGAACTATTTTGAAAAATCGAAAACAGAAAACGGCTTGAAAATAGTAAAAAGAACAGACCCTTACTTTTCAAGAAATAAGTGATATTTGTGGGTGAAACAAAATATGTAATTAAATTTAATGTTCCATTTTCAAAAGTAAAATTTAAGTAAAAGAAAATGAAACCTAAATAGAGATACTTTTGGGGTGTTAACCATTGAATCCACTATTAACAATGAAAGTTTAAAGATCAAAATTCTTTGTTTGGAAAAGAATTTGATTATAACATGTTATTTCATGAAATTTGATTATTCAATAAAAAGTATTACAATTTTACGTCAACATTTTATAAAGTAATATATACATTTTAAGTTCAATGAATCTCACAATATTTTTTTCCTCTATAGAAGTAAGATAAAAATAAATAATAAATTAAGTTCAAAATATAGAAAATAAAAATAAAATTTAATGATGTGGACATAGAATATTTCTACACGTGTTTATTTAAATATTTATTTTTTATTTTTTCTATAATTTTTTAATTTTATTTTTTTAATAATTTTAAATTTTATTTTTAAAAATTTTAGGTTTTATAAAATTTTATTTGTTAGAATTTTATTTTTTAAAATTTTAGGTTTTGAAAATGAGCATGAAAAATAGCGAGTTTTAAAAAAATGATTGTCAAACAGAGTCAAAGTGAACAAATAATCTAATTCGCATGCATATGTTGTCAATTTTTTCAATTATATATTTCATCAACTTTAATCCGATTTTAATCTCTATCGAACACACCATTAATTATGTTTCACGTGGCATTGGCCCATTGGTACTATCAGATTCATCCCGCCCTCACCACCACACCGCGTCCCACCTCTCTTCTCTATTCTGCAGTGTAGTACTTCTCTTCTTTCATACGTACTACTGTTAATGCCATAAGCAAAAATGGAGTCCTTCTCTTCTTGCGTGTCTGATAATTCATTGAATTATTGCCCTTTCTTTTTCTATAAATACCATACACTTCTATAAGCTCTAATGCAACAAAGAGGAAGAGCCCATAATCGAAGATCGAGGACGTTTTCAAGATCTCGCATTGCTGTTGAGGGATTTTAATTTTACAATGGCTGCTATTCAAGGTCTGATATATTCTGTTCCGCCTTTTTACTGTTTTCGTTGCATGTTTTAATGACGATCTGTTTGTGCAGAAGAAGAACGTGAGATTCAGAAGACTTACTGGATCGAGCATTCCGCGGACCTTTCTGTGGAGGCTATGATGCTCGACTCAAAAGCCTCTGATCTTGACAAAGAAGAAAGGCCCGAGGTATATTTCTCATAAAGTAACAAACTCTTTGGTTTTCTTTATCGGATGTTTTTAGTTTGTAGGTTGAATTCTTTTGCATTTTATAATATGGGCTTTCATTTATTATCAATTCTTTCTCGATTATTCTCTTTCAACATTTGCATAATGACACTATCCCGTTACTGTTCCCTTTTCAGTTTAATTTTGTGTCTTTGGTTTTGGATTTTACATGGATTGCATCAGAACCAGCTCTTTTTTTGATTGTGATATGGTTTCGCATCAGCATTATTTGCATAGAGATTGGTTCTTTTTTCTGATTTTGAGTGATTGGTTTACTTTTGTACTCTTTAGTTAATTGGGTCCATTTCAGTTAATTATTACATATATGGTGTCTGTTCATGATAATGATCTTTTTTCTCATCAAGAATTGGTGCATGAAACGCAATTCAGAAAGCTACTATTAGAAATGTTTGTGATTTAATCAACTGTAGTAAAGTTAATAAGGAAGTAGCCTCTTAGCATAAAATTGAACTATATGTTTGTGCATGGAGGATCAGGTGCTTTCGATAGTGATTTCTGATTTGCAATTGTTTGTGCAGTCTAGTTTTTTTCCTGATCACCCTCATATTGGCATCTCCAGAGCCAAATTTAGATTAAAGAAAAAATTGCCTGCTTAGGGAATTTTTTTTCTTAAGCTTATGGTCTCTCTTCTGCTTTTAGTTAAGCTAATTAGAGCATGTTTCATTTATCTTTAATAATTTTTTGTTTCCATATTGTTTAGATAGAATAATTTTTCCTTACTTTGAACTTTGAAGTAAACAAAAGTTGCTACTATAATCCACCAGGTGATCTCTCTGCTCCCATCATATGAAGGGAAATCAGTTCTGGAACTGGGAGCTGGTATTGGCCGTTTCACTGGTGAATTAGCTAAAAGGGCACGCCAACTTGTAGCCCTGGACTTCATTGAAAGTGTAATAAACAAGGTTTGTAGCCCTATCCACGTTTGAGATTGCACCTTTTAGTTCTTATACTGAACGGAAGCTCCTGAACTCTATGATTTGCAGAACCAAAGTATCAATGGACATTATAAAAATGTCAAGTTTATGTGCGCTGATGTGACTTCACCAGACTTGAATTTTTCAGAAGAATCGGTGGACTTGATATTTTCAAATTGGCTACTGATGTATCTCTCTGACACAGAGGTATCTTTCCCTTTCCTTTTAGTTGTAACCGATACTTCTCCATTTTGCTTATAATCAGATTGCTCAAGTCTTTGGCATAACACAAATCGATGTATGTATTACGGTTTGAGCATTAGGCTGTTAACGAGCTTTCATTTGGCCAACAAATTTATAAATTGTCTACAAATTCAGTCAAAGTCAAATATTAATTTCAATAATACATTCGTACTACGAATCATTATTATTCACACATTCCTTGACACTACAACTATTCCTCCTTATAAACCATTTATAAATTTTGTCAAAGGGAGGCTAAGAATTCATAAGGTGAACATAGTTCAAATGTTAAGTTAATGTTGGCCTCTTCTTCTGCCTGCAGGTGGAAAGTCTGGCAGAGAAAATGATCAAATGGTTAAAAGTTGGTGGCTATATATTTTTTAGGGAATCATGTTTCCATCAATCTGGAGACCACAAGCGAAAGAATAATCCGACCCATTACCGCGAGCCCAGATTCTATACAAAGGTTTCGATCTATTCATCATTTTTTTTCAGCACAACCTTGATGCTTCTTGAGCAGACATATCTGAATGATATTGTCATTTATCTTGAATGTGTCATGTTCTGTGTACTAATTTTCACCGAGCTATATACCTAAACCATGATAATTCTTTGTCAATTTTTTTACCTGAAATTATTTTTTTAGGAAATGCAGAATAATGAACAAGTGGAACTTGATGTTACTGTCACTTGCTATTGGAAAGTCCACACGGGATTGTTAGGAAATTTGTTGACATACACAGTTCATATTAAAAAGTTTATATTTACCAATTTAAGCATAATTATTGCATACGTGTATTTAAAAATTGACTTGGAGTTATTGAAGGAAACAGCACCTGTCTACAATTCTTGCAGTATGCAAAATCTGTTTCTTTAGCTTAACTTTCTCCTCTTGTATTGAACTTTAGGTCTTCAAAGAACGTCAAGTCTACGATGGTTCTGGAAATTCATATGAACTAGCCCTTGTTAGTTGCAAATGCATTGGAGCTTATGTAACGAACAAAAAGAACCAGAATCAGGTAACATTTTACTGGATTCTTTTCACATTTGTTACCATCTTTGGTCATCACTGATTTGAGAAACCATATCATGCATTTTCTCTGTTTGGTAATGCAGATTTGCTGGATATGGCAGAAAGTTAGTTCAGAGGATGACAGAGGATTCCAGCGGTTCCTGGATACTGTCCAGTATAAATGTAATGGCATTTTACGCTATGAACGCGTCTTTGGACGAGGGTTCGTGAGCACAGGAGGGATTGGTATGCCACATAAATGCACATTATTTTGCATAATTACTTTTATGTATTGTGTCAAACAAAATGTATATAGTCAACTGCAATGAGATCATACATGTACATGTATCTGTAATGGTAGGGGACGATTCTTACTCTTTGCAGATTTTTTATTTTGATCTGCATTTTGTTTTCCCAGATACTACGAGAGAATTTGTCACTAAATTGGATCTCAAACCAGGGCAAAAGGTCTTAGATGTAGGGTGTGGTATTGGAGGTGGTGACTTTTACATGGCTGAAGAGTATGGTGTTCATGTTATTGGCATCGATCTCTCCATCAATATGATTTCCTTTGCACTTGAACGTGCTATTGGTCTCAAATGTGCTGTCGAATTTGAGGTTGCTGACTGCACAAAGAAAACATATCCTGATGCCACATTTGATGTTATCTATAGTCGCGACACTATTCTTCACATACAAGTAGTTTTCAACTTCTTTCAATTAGTTTTAAATGTCTCGCTTAATTGCTTCGATCAATCATGGTGCTTTCTTTTCTTCTCTTTTTTTTTTGTTGTTTCAAGGACAAACCTGCTTTATTTAAATCCTTCTACAAGTGGCTGAAGCCTGGAGGCAGAGTACTTATAAGTGATTACTGTAAAAGCTCCGGATCTCCCTCAGTAGACTTTGCATTGTATATTAAACAGAGGGGCTATGATCTACATGACATTGAAACTTATGGCCAGGCATACTTTCATATAAATCAACTCCAAACACTCTCCTCCCCAATTTTAATTGTACCTAATCAATCTTTTCTCTTTGGGCAACTGTAGATGCTTAGGGATGCTGGTTTTGATGAAGCCCTTGCTGAGGATCGAACCGATCAGGTTCTTGATGACTAATTGTTCACCTTATTTAAAAGTTTAAGCTGCTAGAGGATACGTCTTTATTTATTTAACTTTTAGTCTTCAACACACCCCTCAAATGTATGACACGTGCACAATTTTTTCACTAATGAGTAGTGGCGAGATCAGTACTCAATAAGCTCTAGTACTACATTAAACCATCTTGTCCAGAAGCTTAAGCTTTTAGATAAACGAATTCCAACACTAACTTCTTTCTCATACTAGTTCCATCTATGTATCGTGTTTTCTCGTATTTCAGTTCATAAAAGTTCTTGAGAAGGAATTAGATACCTTGGAGAAGGATAAGGCATCATTTATCCAGGATTTCTCTGAAGTTAGTGCTTCATAATTGTCTATTATGCAATAGTTATTTCTAATATTGTTGCAATTTTCTCGAACTTATGGTTTTCTTGTAATTTGTTATTTTACAGGAAGACTATAATGAAATAGTTGGAGGTTGGAAGTCTAAGCTGATTAGAAGTTCCTCTGGTGAGCAGAGGTGGGGTTTGTTCATTGCTTATAAAAAGTGATATATTTTGGGAACTTCTATTGTCTACATTGTGCTTTTATGTAATTGAATTATTGAACTTTGTGTACAATAAAGTTGGAGTTGGACCATTTGGCTATGTAATAAAAGTTAATATTAGCTTTGTGCATCATGTGATTGTTGAAAGTATTTTGTTTTCTTTTTCCATAAATGTGACACTGCAAATATCGATTGAAATGTAACGCAACAATTCACCAATCATTCAATAGGAAGGTTATTAACTACTCACATGTCATTCTCGTATGCATAGACTCATTATAAACTGACACGACCAACTTGGAATCGACGCATTTGCCGAAAGTCGAATCAAAGTCTCGAAACTTTGATCTCATAAAACTCAAGCAAAAAATTATAATACTTAAGCTAATTTGATCAATTCATTATTAATAGGCTATATCGATTGTAACGAACAAAACATTTCAATTTGTTCTTATTCTTTAATACTATTCAGTATTGCGATGTGCATTTAGTATGGAATTATTTGGATTACGTTTATAATCAGGCTTATATATCCTAAAATGGGCAATTATTGAGATTTCTATTCGTTTTTTCATAGATGAATATTCAAATAAGGAGTTGGTAGGAATGCGAAGATGCACGTACCACGCCTTAAGAAATGTGGAGAGTTTGTGTACATGTGCGCGTGTGAGCGACCAAATAATGACACGACACGTAAAAAAGATTATTTGTAAGTAAATAAATAGATTTTTTATTAATAATTTTTTTTTAAAAAATTGAGTTACTAGTCATAAGAAATACTTATACTTCTTTCCTGAGGCATTAGCTACATGTATATAGGTAGGGACGCAAATAAATGGCGGCCCTCCCTGGACAGTCCAAGCCCAGTTATTAGTGCAGAATAAACTGTCATCCGTTAGCTCCGCGATCCCTTTCTACCACATACGAGAGTGGGAGGGGGCAAGTTGCATCATCGAAAGTCCACTTCGATATATCCCGCGCAAGAAATGATGCCACTATCTTCTAGTCCAATCATGTCACCCTCCTCATGATCGAAGATATTTTGCATTTTTTGTACATGTGATTGGTATTTTTTCTTTTAAGTTACTATTGTTTTTATTTTATTTTATTTTGCATTGCTACTATCTGTGCCAAACTATTCGATTTTGTATTATTTATTTATTTACTTTCAAATTGTCTCTAATAATGTATGAAATGTTATCGATGAATTATCTATAAAATTAATGTATAAAAAAAAAATATACAACTTTCAACAATTTATCCATGGATTTATGAATGAAAGTAGTGTGGGGCATTTGACTTGATTACCAACAAAAACATTCAAAAATAAATAAAACTATCAACATACACTGTTATCGACAAAATTTCCATTGGTCACACGATATACTTTTCTAGTGGTAGTTAAAATCCCAATTTTTGATAACCATATATCAAGCTGAATTTCAATTCTGAAACCACAAACGATTACAATCCGTTTTACTTCTCAAAGTACTAAAATATAATCGAGGATTGTACGGAGCAGTGCTAGAGTCAAGAATTCCCTCAAAAATTGTTAAGGAGAGCTTTATTTTCCCTTAAAACCGTCGACTAGATACTCTATATGTCCAAATGCTAGAATATACAAGTTTCGAATAATTAAAAAAAGCGATAAAAAGATTGTCATTTATTCTATCTAGTTTTATCCAATCCAATGTTATCGATACTTTTATCTAGATAAGAATGGATTGGCATCAGGGACGGACCCACATTGATGGGGTCATGTGGGGTCAAATGACCCCACAATTTTATTTTTTTTTTCCACTCGAGTTTCTTTTTTTCTTTTTTTTTTTTTTATCTAAGCATTTTTGAATTCTCAGTTTTGACCCCACAAGAAAAATGGTCTCTGTCCGCTCCTAATTGGCATCTAGCTAGTTTTTCATATAAACAATCTTGGAGCGAAGGAAAGTTTTTGAAGAATAAATTACTGACAAATGCATGCTCATTGAATGGTGACCATATTTTCAATCTGTTGGATTCGAGTGGGATTCTTGAATAGCGATGTGATGCATGCATGCCTGAGCCGCACCAAAATAGTCTCCCAAATAATCGAGTGGAATTCTTGAATAGCGAATATCATATTTCTTTTCTTAAAATTCACTACAAAGTACCAAATATAATTTTACAATGTTACTAGACAGAGAAGACAAATTAACTGAAAGGGGCAGTTGAATTCCGTTTCTTCTCTTTGTTTGGTGATTCCAACTTCAAATATTTGATGTTCTAAGCTTCTACTCCCCTTTTCATAGTCCCAACAAAATATAGTAGACGAGCGTTATCGGCAATGCAACTAACATTCCAAATATAACCCTGTTATTCAATTCAACGTGTCAAACGAGGAACACGAAAAATGAGATTTATTAAGTTTATTCTTAAAAATAACTTACCCTGTACTAAGAATGTCTGGGTGCACATTGTACTCCTTGGCAAATACAAAGGGGACAATTCCTTGTGGTAGAGCTGCCTGTTTATTTATTTGGCACGTCAAAGAACAATAGACATGTTATTTTTCCTTTTCCTATGTGTTAAATCTGGAAAACATGTTTAGAATGAATTTTATCGACAAGTACGAATAAAAATTGAATCGCCAAGAACAAAATTTATACCTGAACAATGGCTATGCGGAGGAGAACGCCACGGAGGCCAACAGCAATGGAAGCAGCAGCCATAACAGCTGGACCAGTAAGGAATCTGACGGCCATGGAAAAAGCTGCTACGGAATTTCCACATGCGATGATCCTCGGTTGCAATGCCATGAAAAGACCTGTCATGTCAATTTTCATCATCACTAATCAATTTCAATAATGAAATCATCCACCCAACACTATTACACACATCCCTTTCTGTCTGTCAGTCACCACCACACCAGACATTTTCAAACATCTTTCATTATCACCCCCACTTTTAGCCTACTTCCGTGTTTTACTTTATTTTCTTAAAATTTAACTTTTCAAGAAAAAATAATTAATAAACGAATGGTACTTACGAATAACATAAAAATGTAGAATTTTGGGAGAAAAATAAGATCTAAACGGAGGCTTAGTTTCCCCTTCATCGTCTCAAGAACAAATTGATCTTCAAACTTGTACTGTTAAGTTTTAAAAAAACAAGTTTTTCTTTGAACTTTTTACTGTAGTTCTATAGTTAAGAGTAGAATTGGAAGTGCTTAAATTAAAATTTAAGTGATTATAAGTTCTGAGTCGTACGTGATGTGTGGAGAATAATTGCATGGATAGTAAATGTCAGTTTTATTAACCCCGTGTTTGGTTTAATAATAAATAAGAATTTTAGTAGACATTGAAAAATTGTAGAACTCGCGAAATATGTAATTAAAATTAATTAATGATTTATGACTTGAATTTTAATCAAGTTTGTATAGCTGAACAAACGGTGGCTAAACGTATTAATAAAAAATATGTTTCAACAACTTAAATTACAATTTAAGTTTTGTCAAACATGCACTTAATCTTTAAGGCGCTGAACTATCAGAAAAAAATGTCTCACTTCCAATTTCTATGGAAGAAATTTGTAAGGTTTTGGTTGTTAAAGGGATGGATTATGCAACCGCAATAAGGAGAGGATCAATTGTGCAATTATCTCATTTTATTCCATGTGTTCATGCATATATTTGTACACATAAAGACCATTGACAGAAGGAAAGATGAATAAAGAAACAAACATGTATGATGACCATACTGTTGGTTTCCTTTGCTTTTAGCATGCTTTTTTATTTGACACCATTTTAATAATATAAAGTTAGATTTAATGATTATATTAAACAGCAAATGTTTTTCATGGAGTACTCACCAAGACTAAACATGGCCATGCCAAGTCCTGCATCAGACAGTATAGAAATGGACTTTGCTATTATAGCAGGCATCTCAACATGCCACCTGCAAACAAAAAATAAGAACAGCGAATAAGATCTTCAGTATTTGCTAAAAACTCCTCTAAAAACTTAAACTGTTAAAACAAAAGTCGAGATTTGTAAAGATTGTGGTAATGGGATGTACCTGAATGAAATGAGGGACCATGTAAGGCCAATTAAACTTGAATAAGTATTGGGATTTCTGATGAGTTTCCTCCAGACCATAATCAAAATTAGCCTTGTCATTACACTTGTAGGGGGCATGACTTTCACTTTGTTGTTATCTCCAGCTTTATCACCTTCAGGATTGTTAACATCCCTATTTCCAAAGCTGAACTCATCTCTCCCCAAGTATTCTTCTTGACTGTGATCTCTTTGACCCTCGACTGAAAATGAAAAACATGCCCCTGAGTATTAAAAAGAAAAATTAAGTTGCACGGAAATGGAAACAAGAATAAGGATTCTACCTTTGCCAGGAGATACAGGAACTCTAACTTCTTTAGCATTAGTATTTTGGTCTAATGCTCCATGATCATGGCCACCAAAAACATCTGAAACTGGAGAGGCACTTGAGCTCCAAACAAACATATGAAGATCCTTACCACCTTCTTGCTGACCATTAGGTTTCTTGCCTGCATTTGCTCCAACAGGTTTTGACCCGTTGTTAGGCGAAAACATACCCGGGTTTGGAGCTGGATACTGTGTATTTCCATGGTAAAACCTTGACTTATTCGCATTATTCCCAGTTTCCTCCTCAAAATTTGAAGGTCTTGGAGTTGGCCCTCTTGAAGATGGAAGTCCATAAACATCATTTGCACCAAAGTTTGAGTTCCGGGCACCCCCCATCATTGAGTAAAAATCTGTGTGATTGAAACTGGAGCCTCTTGGAGTTGGGTTTCTTGAAGATTGCAAAGAGTAAATTTCTGCATTGGTTAAATTTGATGGTCTTGGAGTGTTTGATGAATAGCCCATTGATCTTCTTGGGAAAATATCTGATCTTGATGCATTTGATTTTCGTACTGTAACATGAAGTTTCCCATCTTCTTTAATTTCTGCCTCAGTCTCCAAAGCCTGCCTACCATCCAATGACACGATATCAGAATCAACATGGATTGAGACTATTGAGCCAGCAGTGTCTGGGAACTGCTCAGATATAAGCAATTTTGCACCTCTGTATTCAAACATGAAGAGCATCAAAGTATACCAAATAATGCACTGAAGTACAACTATTTGAACCATTAAACTCCCAGAATACTCCCCATACATGCCCTTCAACAAAGGGATACCCATAACAAGAGTGTTTGGCAAAGTGGATAGGGAAAAAAGTGTAATAGTCCATTCCAAACAACCCCTTTTGCTCACATTAGCCCATACTGCTAAAACTGCAAGAACGATGAGTTTTTGCAGTGTGTCTGCAGCAATGAACCTAAAGTTCATTTCATAAGGATTGTTCATCGCAATGAAATGAAAAGAAAGAAGAGGGACTGCAAAAAGTGCCACAAAACGGTTGATTCCTGAACATTGATCTGGAGTGAAAATCTTCCACCACTTTACAGAACCGTAGGCTAATGTCATAGCTACATACAGTGGAACCACTGCAGTCATTACATGGTAGAAATCTGATAAAGTTATCATTTTTTCTGATTTATTGAGCTGCCCAGATAGACAAAAGATACAACAAACAAAATCAGCTGATCAAAACGTAATGAAATTTGAACAAAAGAAAAAGGTTCCGAAGATTGATATGTATAAGGAAATGGAAGAGGAAAAGAACATGTGTATTGGTTTATTGGGTTGTGAGTAGTTGAGTTGTATGTATATTCAGAAAAGCAGAAATAGTATATATTTTTTGGTTATGCAGATACAGGATGCAGCTTTGAGAGTCGCGATCAAGCTTGCACTTGCAGTCCCCAAAGCAAAGACGTAGGGGTGGGGTGGGGGGCTTTGTTTTCAGCTGTGTTTGGATTTGAGAGAGTAAGAGAGTTTTTACTTATAGTTAGAAATAAATTGCTGGAATTTGGTAAATGGCTCATTCTTACATGGAAGACTGGTTTGTATAAAGTTGAGGAAAAGGCAATATGGTTGGAGGTAAGGAGTTTCTTAAGTACTTGTTTGGAGACTTTTTGCATACACTTTCTTGGATTCGCTTTTCTTCTCGTGGGCTGTTGATGGGCTTGTATGGATCATTATTATTATATTCCCTTAAATCGCATAATTAACCGGATATTTAGGGAAATTTGAAAGAGGAAATTACACCTGCACTTGAAATTAGATTTTCAATTTTAAAATTAAGATCACAAGTTTAACATTTCAAAAATCAGGTTTTTTATATCTAATTAAATAATAATTAATTAATTATTAAATTTCATCCCAATTAATAATTTAATCCCAAAATCAAACCTAATTTCATTATTCATCCCGTGATTCCCGTCCCAATCTTCTCTCATCCTCGTTGCTCTCTTCTCCCTCTCAGCCGCGACGGCCGTCGGCCTTCTTCCCCCCTCTCCCTCTCTCGTCTTCACCTTTCTTCTCTTTCTCTCTACCATTTTTCCTCCGGTGACTCTGGCGCTCGAAGTTCCGGATGGTGTCGTTCGAAGATCCAGTCAGGTATTTCCCTAGGGTTTCACAGATCCATTTCTCTCTCTCTACCCTCAATCCCTCACCGTTTTCTCTCTCTCTCTCTCTCTTTCTCTCTCTCTCTCTGGCCTCAACACGTTTCTCTCATTTCCGTCGTTGTCTTCTACTTTTTCCCTCGCCGGCAACGCGGGCGCTCGAAGTGTTGGATGGTGGGATGGTGGTGCTCGAAGATCCAATCAGTGGGTGTACAGTTCTGTGGCTGGGTGTGTGGGTGTGTCGTTGCTACCATTCCTGTGGGTGTGTTGCTGGGTGAGTGTGTGAATCGGAGTGAGTGTGTGAATCGGAGTGGCGGCTGATCTGTGGGTGTGTGGTGGATCGGTGNTATGGTGGTCACAAATAATTTGATTGTTTGTGACCACCACTAATTATTAATTGTGACCGAAAAATTATTAACTGTGACCTAAAAATTATTAATTTGTGACGTAAAAATTATTAATTGTGACTAATAAATTGATAAATTGTGACCTAAATAAGTATTGTGACTTATAAATTTTGGGATCTGTGACCGATGAACAAATTGTAACTTTCAAATTTCTAAGTTATGACCAATAAACAAATTGTGACCTATGAAAATTTTGAATTGTGACCAAATTGTATAGATCTGTGACCTTAACATATTCATCGTAATCGGAAAAGTAGCCGGAATAGCCCCGGAGTTGTAGGGGTGGTGGAGGTGGGAGTGGGTTATTTTATAGTAGAATTAAATATTAATAATAAATTAATTTAATAATTATTATTTCATAATTAAAAATTTAAAGAAACCTGATTTTTGAAGTTAAAAACATGTTTTGGTATTTTTGAACTTGGTAAAAGTAAATGACTTATTTATGTATTCTTCCCGATTTGAAATTAGACAATGCATCATTCTTTTATATATAGCTATTTAGGTCGCATATTATTTGAAAGACTTTCGATATATTGATCACATTCTAATAAAAAATTTGCAATATGCATAAAAATATAAATTTGTCACATCAATTGAACAGAGTCTCTATCAGATTGCGTTAAAAATGAAATTTTTTAAACATTGTCTATTTTACTTTCGTGACAATTTTTTTTAGAGACGCATTCAATCGCAGAGTTAAGCTACTCTCTAATCTCTCTAAAAAAAATATATATCAAATCGTTTTTAACAATTTATTCTAGTGGCAAATTTTATTGTCAAATGATGAAATAACTTAGACAATTTTCGCTGGTAATAACTTATTATACAACTACAGTGAAAGGTGTGAATAAAACATGCTTCTTTTTAAAGTTCGAAACTAAATTATTATAAGGGTAAAAATTTGGAGAACAAATGGTACAATTTTACCTAACTTTTATCTATTTTTCACTTTTTCCTTTTCCTTTTGCATTCCCTCCACTCGTGATTTTTTTTTCCTCATTGCAATGCTCTACAAAAACAAAAATAAAATTTAAAATATTACACATTTCAGAATCTTTAATATAAAATTAATAAATTCCCATAAATAATTATCAAATTATTAGAATTAAAATTTGCTGAAGATTTGTAATTTTTTTTTTTTTTTTTGATTTGCTAAAATACAGTTCAACAAACACTTATCGAGATAATTTGAAATTATAGATACTTTTAAATACAATAATTTGCAAGATAATTTACTATATTGCTGAATTTATTAAGACATATTACATACATCAAACCTAGGGGTGGCAACGAGCCGAGTTGAGTCACGGGTCGAAAATTGAAGCTCGGACTCGGTTCGAGCAAAATGGGTTGAGGCTTTTTGCTTGAGCCAAGCCGAGCAAAAGCTCGGGAAAAAAATTTAAGACTCGGCACGGGCTTTTGCTCGAGCCTCAACGGCCCGGTTGATTTTTTATTTTTTTATATATAACATGTGCTCCCTTTAAATAGTGGCTGATACTTTTCCACCTTCCATTTATTAAAAAAAAAAAGTTAATTTTTACACAAGCACACAGGCCCTGCAGGCTCGGCTCGACTCGGCTCTGCCCGAATCTCCAAAACTGGCTCAGCTCGAGCTTTGACCGATCTACCTAGCCTCAGGCCGGGCCGGCTTGAGCTTTCCCCCGGGCCGAGCCGACGAGCCAAATTAATATCCCAATCAAACCTAATTTCACTGAAAACTGAGTGGAAATAATATTGCATCATTGTGTAATAATAATGTCCTTCTTAGTTGCTTCATATGTTAATACTACTTACGAGTAGCTTTTTTGGCACTATAAAATTACTTATACGTACAATTATAAGTTCATAAACAAATTATAAGTTGATGACTTAATATTATTATATAAGAAAAATAATGAATTAAATATTTTCAGATAAAATTTAGAGAAAGTAATACAAATCCCCCTTCGTTATTAACTACCAGAGACAATTCCAAGTGGAAAATAAAGTAGAAATTATAATGATTGTAGTCTAGAAACAATTCGATTAATCGTGTATTATACACCTGTTTTGTACATCGAAGCATGCAGATCCTCAATAACATGAAGTAGTGACATGATTTTATCTATGAAATGTAGGTAGCTGAGTTTTGTGATTCTAGTTTTAAAAGGTTGACGTGTAAAAAAACAAAAAAAAGTTAACTCCTATATGTTGATTAAATGATATGTAATTTTTCCTTAACATGTTCGTAAAATGGTACCATTACCTGTTATGTGATTTTGGGGATCTAAGGCAAACTTCATAAATTAGGTCTCCAAAATTGTATTACGCATCTTGATTTTTGCTCGCACAAGCCGTTTCTCTGCCAATCTTGAATTTGAAATCTATAAGTGTATTATAAAACCAACTGTTAATTTATTAACTTAAAATTTGTTAATTTATCAATTTCAATTTGGAGAAATTTCTTTCTACAAATGCAATTGTAATTGATATGGTTAGCAAAATTTTATAAGCAGTATAGGCATTTAGGAAACATCCATTCAATGTCTTCAAATATTGTAGCACTTCAACTAATTTCGTTGCTTCACTTGGTATATAACACTTCAAGACTAGTAACTTCGAATATAAATTATTTCCATTAATATCCTGAAGTCCATTATTTTCAAATACTTCTCAAAATTCATACAAGACTTCGACAAATTGGGAAATGAGATGTCATCAACTCCTTTTGTGCCAATTTCAACTAAATAATTCCTCATTTTTTGATCAATATTTTTCCAATTCTCATGATCCTCCAAATTCAAAGAAAAACATCCCTCTTGATTTAAATTTTTAAGTTGATGTATGATTACTGTCCAATTCCACCATCACACCTCAAAATCCTAAATTCAAAATTAATTCATTATCTTTTATTCTTTTCCTCTAGAGAATTTAAGTAATAAAGATAGGAAATTTTTTGAAAAATAAAGGGAAAAATTAAAATTTATCAAATTAAAACCAACAACACTAAAGAGCCAGAGAAGTAAACACGCAATCAAAAAAATTCTAATGTTTTCAAAATAACTTTTCCCAGTTTAATCAAAATCCAACAAGGTCTATAATTTCTTCAATAATGATACCAATATTTATTTACATAAATATCCAGAAAAGGAAGAAAAATGATTAATCTATCAAATAAAGAAAAATCCATTGTAGATCACACAATTCTGACTAATTTTAAGCCGCTAAATGAAATAAGAAAGGGGTAGTAAAACTCCATCATTAGGACAAAAATAAAGATACAGAATGTTAGAATCCGAGCAATCCAAAGTTGAAATTTGAATGTTTCAAAATTGTATCAAATATATGCAAGAATGAAATCCGAGCAATCTCGTATGCAGTAGCGTGGCATGGTGGCGACGGACGATTGAGACAGAAGTGCGAAGACGGTGCCCGTCGAAGGCCTAAGGCGGACGATGGGTTTTGGCTATTCTCACAAGCATGCACCGACAGTACATGAATGGGGCTTGGGATTGATTTTTATAATTTTAAATTTAAAAATAAAAATAAAAATTGAGGCCCACTAAAATTTTTGGGCCTGAGGCATGGGCCTCACTTGCCTCTATCCAAAACAGGGCTTAAATGGTACCTGAGAACATCGATTTTTATATAGTGGAAATTACACTCACCCCTACTTTTGGAGATTCAAATTCTAAAATCAGACCACCCCACCCCACCCCTCCCCCCCCCCACCCCTAAAATTTAATTACTAAACCCTACTCAACCCAGGTTTCTCTCATCCCCGTCTCTCTGAATCGACGCCGCCGCGCCCCCCTCCCCCCGGCCTCGCTCGCGGCAGTAACCCAATTGCCGGACCGCCACTGTTGCGCCGACGATTTTTGCAGTGTCATCTTCTCTCCTCTCCTTGCCAATTTGCAGTGCGACGGTGACTTCACCATCTCCAACCTAGATCTCGTCGACTCCACCATCTTCACCATCCCTTCCCGTCGATGTGAAATGTGAATATTCATATTTATTATCCCGACTTCACCATCTCCAATCGTCGCGACAATTGCGAAGACGGCCACCTCCGCCGCTACAGAAACCCCGCTAGATGTGAGCGTCGCTGCGGCGATTTGAAGTTGCTTTGCCCTTCGCTGCTACAGGGAGTGTAAATCCACTATGCTTCCTTTTTTCTGTGTGTGGTGGGTGTGATGTGGTTGGTCTGTAAAGTAGTGGGGTTGAAAATGGTGGTTGTTTTGCCAATGATGGCGGTGGTGGTGATGGTTTGATAAGTTTGGTGGTGGTTTTGGGTTTGATGGTATTACCGTAAATCACCGGGGTTTGAGTTTCTCTGTTGGTGGAGACTAATGAAGCGGCAAGAGATTTTTGGGTTGATTTGAGTTTCTCTGGTTTTGTGGTTGGCTGTGGTGTGGTGCTTTGGAGTAGCAACATGGGGTCGTGGGTGCTGTTGGTGTTGTAGTGGTGGTTTTGGCCGGTGCGATATGGTGGATCTTGCGACGGTGAGGCATTGGCGATTGTGAAATGTTGCTGAGGTGGTGGTGCTGTTGGTTATGGCGACAACAACGATGATGGTGGTGTTGGATGCAATGGTAGCTATGTGTTTGGTGGTGGTGGTGCTACCTTGCGACAACGAATGCGGTGTTTTTTTATTTGTTGATGGTAGTGGTGCGGTGTAGGCGGTGGTCTGGTTGTCAGCAATGGTGGTTGTGGTGAGTTGCCGGCTGTGGTAGCGGAGCGGTGGTCTGGTTGTCAGTAGGGTTAGGGCATGTAAGACGGTGGTGGTGGTGAGGTGGTGCTGCATAGTCTATGTGACCAATGTTGTGACATGAGCCATGTGCTGTGACCTATGCTGTGACTATCAACAAACATCTGAGCGTTTAAAAATAACATGGGACTATGAACAAAATCGTGACCTGTACTGTGATCATTTGAAAATAACATGAGACTATGAACAAAATCATGTGCTGCATAGTCTATGTGACCAATGTTGTGACATGAGCCATGTGCTGTGACCTATGCTGTGACAATAAACAAAAATCTGAGCGTTTGAAAATAACATGGGATTATGAACAAAATCTTGACCTGTAATGTGACCATTTGAAAATAACATGGGACTATGAACAAAATCGTGAACCATGTGCAATATATTCTGTGACTTGTGCTGTGACCATTTGAAAATAATCTGTGACTATTAACAAAAATGTGAGACGTGAGACTTGTTGTGTTATCAATCGTTATAAACAAAAAATCATGCGTTGTGATCTGTGACCTGGATTGTGACTTGTGAATTGAACTATGACCTGAGCTGTGACTTGTGACCTGAGTCATCGAAATCGGAGCAGTCGTCGCAACGATCACCGGAATCGGAGAAATGAATTTTTCTCTTTTATATATGCTGTTTCGTATGACTCACAGTACCAACTATTTATTCAACACTCTTATCATTATACTTATAATTTAAACAGTTTATTAACATTTTTCAAAAATCGTGCTAAAGTTGCCCCAAATCTATAATAGTTCTTGAGATTCTATCTTAAAGTAAATAACAACATTTTCAAGTCAAAATCTTATATATTAACTACTATTTTTATTTTAAGGATGTAAAATTTTGCCCTTAATAATTTGATACAATGAATTGAAGAAAAATATAGATAAATTTTGTTCAATTTAACGTTCTGTTTTGACACATGAAAATATTCGTTTAAAAAGATTACTTGTTAACAATAATTTTTTATTTAAATATCACTTTTCTTCATTCTTGTCTAATTCTAATTCGAATTCCAACGTATCATCATCAACTTTTCTTGTTTCAATGAATACTTTAATTAAGATAATTTTGTTAATTAAAAATTCCACACAAGCATGCGTTGAAATTAATGATCATAGAATTGATAGAAATAAGAGGCAAAGATTGGCGTGTCAGATCCACAAGTTTCTTGGAGTAATAAACCTCCAAACACAATGCTTAAACCGCACAAATAGAAATGGAATTGCGATATAACAGTCATGGTTTCAATGGGTAGGCAAAAGACACGTAGGCAACTCTTGGATCATACATATATAATTTATAAAAAAATATCAATGTTAGATTGCAATTCACATAACGTATTGAAGATGCTCTTAATCTCGATGGATACATTCTATCGATGTTCTATTAAAATAGCATTTCTGGACCAATTAAACGATTTTTAGAAATTGGGTAGGAAATATGTCAACATTCAAAATTGTAGAGTATACAGGAGAGCAAACAAAAAGAGAAGAACAAAAAAGAAGAA